GGGGCGCAAAGAAGTCGGACTTCCGAGAGCGATGAGATCTCGCAGGTCGAATTTGCGCTGGCACATGCGCGATGCTGAGTGCCCGCTCTTGATTTGCGACGAGCTCGCACTGCCTCTGTTCGAGGGGGCGATGGTCGAGCCGTCGCTGGATCCCAGAAGTTGACGCATCTGGCATGACGGGAGTTTCGTCAAGGGTCGGAGATTACCGAAGAAGGTGAAACCCAGTGCGGGATGGGATGTCACGGCGTTTCCTCCCGGATGCGATGTGCCAACCTCTAGGAAGGAAGCTTTAGTTTCTGCCTGCGGCCCTGTCGCGAACGACCCGACATCGCGCTTCTAGGCGCGGTGAGGAAGACGAGCGGCGCGGCCGAGATCACGGCCATGATCGAGTTGCGCCTCTGGCTCCTGAAACAAGGGCAGGTCCAGCTGGGCCCTTCAGTCACCCCAGGGGCCCGACAACGACCGAATACCGACAAGTACATGATCTCCCAGAGGGCTTCCATCTCAACGCGCGTCGACGCGAAGTGCGCCATCCAGATCGCCGAGGGGGGCCGCTCGCCCACGGGAAAATATCATAATCGCACATCTTGCGACACATGGTACATAATATTCGGAACTATTTTAAGATCGACATCGTCTGGGACAAATCGCACCAGGAAGAAAATGTGGGGAACGACTTTGCCGATCATCTGGCGGAGCAGGGGGCTTCTAATTGCCGACGCTGCCAGATGGCATCGCCCTCGCCAAGTTGAGCGGTTCCAAGATGATTTTCGACGCTTGCTGGGTGGGACCCGACAACTGCAGATGCCCGTGCACGAGCAGTTGCGACGCAGAATGCAAGGCTCAACGTCAGCTGCCCGCAGTTCCTCCGAGGGGGCGCGACCGAGGGCACTCTGGGCCTCCCGTTGCCACGACTGGATTCGCGCAGCATAGACCTTCCGTCGATCTCAAAATTCGCAGGCGCGGCAGCTAGCGTTGCAGCGCGTTGCGGCGAAGGGGGGCGCAATATCAACGGCCGGCGCAGCTTCGCAGGACAATCCTCTTCTGCAGCGTTCCAGCGACAGCGAGTAGAATCTCGAGGCCATATCCGTCGGGCCCTGGCTTAAGAATCATACAGGACGAGGCGATCGATATCGCGACTACGAGCGAAGGCCAAGATCGACGATAGCCTGAAGACGAAACGATTCCCTGCCCCCCCCCCCCATAGCGAGACCCCGCACGCGACTCCTACGACCACTCCTCGACGGCTTTACAATACAGACGGCAGCGACTGCCGATTAGAAATCCCAGATGCTGACGTCTTTCTACTCCGATCTTCGGAGACACAAAGCACGCCGTCCTGGAAGGCGCCCCTGACGAGCCCCCTGCAGACCCCCGCGTTCGACGGGGGCCCGCCTGGATTCAGTCGAACTGGAGCCCAGCTGCACTCGACTGCTTTAGACGACTGGATCGGGGATGGATGGGTGACGGATTGACGCGGATGAAGACGGGGAAACAAGGGTCGAATATGGACGGGGTAATGATGGAGATGCCGAGCAAATTGCCTGAGCAGGCATTGGAGTGCGTAGCGGAGATGTTTCGCAACCGCCCGTTGAAAGCTAAGGGGGGGGGGGGGGGGGGGGGGGGGAAGGGCAATGTCTGGGGAACGCACGTGACCAACTTGCTGACAAAGACGGGATTTAGTGTGAGCGGAAGCATCGTGGACCTCCGCCCGATCACGCTGTCGCCAGTGCCCTACAAGTGGCATGGCCACTGCCTGCTGCTCCTGTTGACACCTGAACAACGAAGTCTTTCGAAATAGCAGTTCGCGTTTAGACCGGCTTTCCAGGCTGAGGAGGTCATCTTCATCTTTCGACGGTTGATCGAGAAATGCTGCGAGTAGGACACAGAGTGCCCGCTGTTCACTTTTGCAGGCGACATTTTGAAGGCCTATGACAACACAGATCGTGCAGGGGTGGCCGCGGCGGGAGTGCAACATGGCATCCCCTAGATACTCCTAGCGGGATGGTTGAGGGAGGTGGGAAGGATGGAGGCCACATTATCACTCGACGATCTGACATGCTCAGCCCCCGTTGCACGATCTCGGTCGCTGGCGGAGGGCGGCCCTGCAGCTCCCTTCCTTTTTTGACCTGCGGCTGGGCGCCCTCGTAGACGCGTTCGCGCGCCGATGCGAACGACGCGGATGGGGATTTCGGTGGAAGGCTCGCCAGGAGGACCCCGACCAGGACCTGTGTATCCCGATTCTGTGTTTCGCCCATAATTTTTGGATCCTGGGGAGGACGAGGAAAGGGATGAAGATCACGATGAGTAACTGGTTACAGATTTTGGAGGAGGGAGGTTACAAGGTGAACTTGAATGAGTGTCAGTTGTCGAGCACATCCCTTCCCGATGTTCCATAATGGAACGAAGCGGCGGCCCTGGCGGGCTCTGAGACCGAACGAATTCCAAGGGGCGAAACGACCGAGATCCTGGGGACGAAAATCCCCCACGACGGTCGTGATGACGGAGCATTGGAGCATCGGGTTTCACAGGCCTGGAAGACTTGGTTCCGTTGGCGCAGTGTTCTGCGCCATCGGGCCGCACCGCTGGACAAGCGCCTCCTCTTGTGTGTCAGCCTGGCGCGCAATTTCTTGTTCTTGGGTGCCAAGGGGTGGGCCCTCAGACACGACCAGCTCGCGAGGCTGAGAGGCCTGCAGGACACCTTGCATCGACGGGCCTTCGGTTTCCGAGGAGTCACAATCCCTGGGACGAGCCCATGAGAGACGCATCATCAAAACATAAATTCGACCCGGAGACGGCTGGGGATCCAGGACTGAACCATGCATTCAATTGAGATGCAGTACAGGTGGGCGGGACATTTAGAAACCATGAGTGAACGTGGCCCCGCGCGCCTCCCCCCTCAGGTCCCCTATTGTAGAGGCGCCAGGTTTTTGCGAGCACAGGAGCTGGCTTTCGGACGCGGTCGACAAGGCCACGCCCGCAAGCTGCGCCCCTGGAGGTGGGAATATGTCCTCTCTCGTTGTCCCCATCGCCACCAACTTTGGAATCGCTTGGCCTCCCAACCAGAGCTGTGGGCACATCGCGTGAGTACGGTTGTCGATTGGCGTTCGTCTGCGAGATTATAGTGCGATGTGTTGTCATCTCTCTGCTTTAGCTTCATTTCACATGCGTCCAGCTTCCAGCTCTCACAAGGCCGAGACCCGATCTCGAAGAGCATACATACATATATACATACATACATCATCCTCGTCATCATCGCCGTCATGGTCATCATCGTCATCACCATCAGCATCATCATCATCAGCATCACCGTTATCATCGTCAACACCAGAGGCAGCATCATCATCACCATCAGCATCGCCATCGCAACCATCATCAACATCAGCATGATCATCGTCATCATCATCATCAGCATCATCATCATATTCCTCATGATCGCTCACATCCTACCAGCCCTCCGCCCCCCCGTCCTCCATCTCGGCATCCTCCTGTGTCGTCTCCGACCCACCCCCACAGACTTCGGGGCCTGCATCCATATTGTTCGCAAAAGGGCACGAGTTTGCTTCAATGGATCAACCACCCTCCAAGCGCCTGTCCTATCCTGTGTCCCCCTCCTCCTTCCGTATCCTTTTTTTTCGTCTCGTCTGCACCATCCTTCCGCTTCTTTTTCTTTGTCTTTCTTCTCGTCTTCATCATTATGACCGCCATGCTTGTCATCAAACTTGCTTGCCCCCGCCATTCGCCCAACCGAGCAAAGAGCAACTTAGATGACCCATCATCGTGCTGCTCCTCCTATGCGCACCCCCGTCCCCCTCATTTTCTCCTCCCTCCTCGCAGCAGCTCGCAGGTGACTTCAAATCAGACCCTCAACGGCCTGAGGCACCACGATCACCTCAGGTACAGGCAGTACTGCGCGCGCCGACTGCGGCGCCTGTTCTGCAATCTGAAGTTCAAGGACTCGCCTGCCACTTTCGGAGGGGGCACACTCCGCCTCCTCCTCCTCCTCGTCCTCCTCCTCCTCCTCCCCCTCGTCCCCCACTTCCCCCTGCATCCGCATATCCTCGCCCTCCTCGTCCTCCCCTCGTCCTCACCCTCATCCCCAGCCTCATCCTCATCCTTGCACATCGTCGTCCTCGTCATCGTTCCTCCTCCTTTTCCTCCTCTTCCTCCTCCTCCCCTCGTCCTCGTCATCCTCCGTCCGCAGCCTTGTCTTCCTACATCCTCTTCTCCTCGTTCTCCTCGCCCTCTTCGCCTTCATTATTCCTCTTTTGCCTCGGCCTCCCCTCTCTCCTCTCCCATGACATCCCTGTGGAAGCAGAGGGTGGCAGCATTCTGTTCGAGGTGCCTGGCACTTGCTTCTGGACTACCCTTGCCTCCTCCTCCTCATCATCCCCATCATCATCAACCTCATCATCATCATCATCATCAGCATCAGCATCATCATCATCATCATCATCATCATCATCATCATCATCATCATCATCATCATCATCATCATCATCCTCATCCTCATCCTCATCCTCATCCTCATCACCATCATCCTCATCCTCATCCTCATCCTCATCCTCATCACCATCATCCTCATCCTCATCCTCATCCTCATCCTCATCATCATCATCATCATCAGCATCATCATCAGCATCATCATCATCAGCATCTTCCTCCTCGTCCTCCTGATTCTCCTCCTCCTCCTCCTCCTCCTCCTCCTCCTCCTCCTCCTCATCATCATCATCATCATCATCATCATCATCCGCTTTTCCCATGCCGAGGGCAGTAATTGCCTCGCTGTCGCCCCTCGCCTCTCTGATGGAGCAGCAGCTTCGGAGGCTCGCGGCGCCCCCCGCCCCCGGGGGACTCTCACTCCTGCTCATCTCCTTTCCTTTGCGTCCTTGCTCCTCCTCCTCCTGATCCTCCTTGCCTCACCTCCTCTCTCAGCCTCTCTCTGTTCCCCTCGTTCTCCTGCCCCTCCCCCTGCTCGGAGAGAAGATGGCGGCCACAAGCACGGGAAGAACCGGTTCAAGGCCGCCGAGTGGCCGAACGACTTCCAGGACCTGTCTGCCGCGTGCGCTCCACGGCGCGGGCGCAACGCCCGGGCTGACAGGTCGACGCAGCATAGAGAGTGAGTGGGCGGGGGGGGGGAGAAGGAGGAGGCGGAAGAGGATGAGAAGGAGGAGGAGGAGGAGGAGGAGGAGGAGGAGGAGGAGGAGGGGGAGCAGCGCGAGGAGAAGAAGGACGAGAAGTGGCGCGCCGTCCCACAGGCATCGCAGCGCCGATTGTCCATGGTTCGTGGGAGGAGGAGGAGGAGGAGAAGGAGGAGGAGGATGAGGAGGAGGAAATTCGTCGCTGGTGTAGTCCTCGCCGTCCCGTCGTGCCTTCACCTCCCCCTCCACGGGCCACCGCGGCATACGCTCCGCCTGGTAGGTTCCTATTCTTTACCGTCTTGCTACAGATCACCGAGTTCGATCAGGGGGGCGGATGCGTTCGCACAGAACCCCAGAGCTGCGTTCGCGCAGAACCCTACAGCTGCCAGCGTCCAGGAGGAGGAAGAGGAGTGTGAGCAGGAGAAGGATGAGAAGTGGCGCTCCGTCCTAAAGGCAGCGCAGTGCCGGTAGTCCATGGTTCGCGGGGGGCGTGCAAGAGTCCAGATTGGGTCAGCCTGCAGCCCGTGCGTGGTGTAAGAACTCCGCCAGCCTAGAGATACCCAATGGAATCATCTGAACAAGGGACGACCAAGGCCCTGCTGGCAAGTTCCTTGAGGGCGTTTGACGCTGGTGTCTGGGCCAAGTGGTCGCCGTGAGAGCAGCATTGCACCAAAGCTCTATCTTTTGAAATCTTACTGCAGAGTTCTGGCCTCCCTCGCAGGTTCTTTGAGAGCGTTAGACTCTGGTGTCTGCGCCAAGTGGTCGCCGTGAGGGCATGCTTTCACCCAAGCTCTACCGCTTGATCTCTTCTTGTGGAACTTCTGGCCTACCTAGCCTGGAGGTCCGAGGCGGGAATTATACATGACCACCGCCTGGAGGGTCAGTTTTCGGAGCCTCGGCAGGCGGTGGATATGGACATATTCGGGCCCCCGGGGGCCGAAATATTTCCATATCCGCCGCCCGCTGGGGCACCAGGACGTCGGTTCCCAGGCGGTGGATATCGATACATCCCCGCCTCGCTGGAATGGTTGCACAGCGCCTCGGCCGTGCAGTGTGCCCAGAGCACGCCTCGCAGGACATGCGCTTCCTCGAGATCCCGCTCGTCCGCGCGGAGAGGGCGTGGAGCTACGGCATGCAGCTGAAGGCCGGCACGCCTCCTCTCGGGAGCTCGCCCACCCGTGTGATCATTCTACCCCTCCTCCTCCTCCTCCTCCTGCTCCTGCTCCTCCTCCTCCTCCTGCTCCTTCCCTCTGTCTCTCTTCCCTCTCTCTCTCTTTCTCTTGTTCGCTCCGTCACTTATGCTGGTCCGCTCGCTCGTCTGCCGCACTCGTTCCGCACTGTTCGTTGCGTTTCGTATCCGTTCGTTCCCTGCCTCGCCTCGCTCTCAGCCCTCCATTTCTCCCTCTCCTCCTCCTCGCTCGTTCCCGCCACTCCGTGAACACTCCCCGTTTCCGCCTGTTCTCCCGATTTCCTCCCGCCTGCTGCTGCTGCTCCTCCGCCAAGCGCTCCTCATCATACTGTTCGCTATCGGTTATGACCTCGATTACTTCCACAGCGTGCCAACTGCGGATGCGGGGTAGACGTTATGTGGGCCACCTGGTGGGGACGTCTCGCGGCATCTGGTTAAGATCGGCCCATGACGTCCCAATCCGTGGAAACGATCATGGTTGCTCCAAATGATATTCCAAGAAGGGAACGCTCCACTCGACTCGACCATAATGAGGAGGAGGGGGGAAAAACAACAAAAAAAATGAGGAGGAGGGGGAGGAGGATAAGGAGGAGGAGGAGGAGGAGGAGGAGGAGGAGGAGGAGGAGGAGGAGGAGGAGGAGGAGGAGTGGTGTGGACGCGGAAACCGCAGCAGCACACCGTGCGAGCCCCCAGGCGGACAACGCGACGCTGTCCGAGCTGAACTGCCGGTGGCGACACCACGGCATCCGGCGCTTCACCAAGGCGGTGAAGTGGGCGCACATGCTGGAGGCGGGCACCCCCACGGGGAGGGGGGAGGGGGGCGACCCAGTGCGGGACAGTTTAGGGCGCGGGAGGCGGAAAAGGAGGAGGAGGAGGAGGAGGAGGAGGAGGAGGAGGAGGAGGAGGAGGAGGAGGGAGGCGGAAGGAAGACGAGGACGATAGAGGAAGGACGAGGAGGAGAAGGAGGAGAGGGAAGGAGCCAGACGGAGAGAAGACGAGGACAAGCGAGGAGGAGAGCGGGAGGAGGAGGAGGAGGAGGAGAGGAGGAAGAGGAGGAGGAAGGAAGACGAGGAAGAGGGGGGAGCCAGGGCGGAAAGAGGACGAGGACGAACGAGGAAGGAGGAGGAGGACGACGAACGAGGAGGAGGAGGACAAACGAAACGAGGAGGAGGGAGGAGGAGAGGAGGAGGGTGACGAAGAGAGGAGGAGGAGGAGGAGGAGGAGGGCAAAGGGCAAAAGGCAAAGGGCAAAGGGCAAAGGGCAGCGCAGCGTCGTGGAAGTCCCGCGGCGCCGCGCGCCGCCGCGCGGAAGGACCGCGCCGCCGCTCGGACGACGGGGAACCGCCCCCAAGACAGCGGGTGCGTTGCTCCTCGGCCGCTCCTTGCGAGGCTTCCGCTATGAGAGCGGCGTCTGCACGACCTCTGGGGCGGGACAGGCTCAGGGGACGGAGGAGGAGGAGGAGGAGGAGGAGGAGGAGGAGGAGGAGGAGGAGAGGAGGAGGAGGAGGAGGAGGAGAGGAGGGGGAGGAGGGGGAGGAGGAGGAGGAGGAGGAGGAGGGGGAGAGGAGGAGGAGGAGGAGGAGGAGGAGGAGGAGGAGGAGGAGGAGGAGGAGGAGGAGGAGGAGGAGGGGGGGGAGGAGGGGAGGGGGGGAGGGGAGAGGAGGGGGAGGGGGAGGGGGAGGAGGAGGAGGAGGAGGAGGGGAGGAGGAGTAGGAGGAGGCGGAGGATGAAGGAGGGGAGGAGGATAGGAGGAGGAGGAGGAGGAGGAGGGAGGAGGCGGAGGAGGAGGAGGAGGAGGAGGAGGAGGAGGAGGAGGAGGAGGAGGAGGAGGAGGAGGAGGGAGGAGGAGGAGGAGGAGGGGGAGGGGAGGGGGAGGGGGAGGGGGAGGGGGAGGGGGAGGGGGAGGGGGAGGGAGGGGGAGGGGAGGGGGAGGGAGGGGGAGGGGGAGGGGGAGGGGGAGGAGGAGGCAGGAGAGGAGAGGAGGAGGAGGCGGAGGAGGAGGAGGAGGAGGAGGAGGAGGAGGCGAGGAGGAGGAGGAGGAGGAGGAGGAGAGAGGAGGAGGAGAGGAGGAGGAGGAGGAGGAGGAGTTGGAGGAGGAGTGGAGGAGGAGTGAGGAGAGGAGGAGGGAGGAGGAGGAGGAGGAGGAGGGGGAGGAGGGAGGGGGAGGGGGAGGGGGAGGGGTCGGGGGAGGGGGAGGGGGGAGGGGGAGGGGGAGGGGGGAGGGGGAGGGGGCGGGGGAGGGGGTGATGGGGAGGGGATGGGAGGAGGAGGAGGAGGAGGAGGAGGAGGAGGAGGACACGATCTTGTCTGTGGGGGTCCACACCATGGTCCGCGCGCACAGCCCCAGAGCGTGCCCGCACGCGCGGCGCGCGGCAAGCCGCGGCGGCGGCTCGGGTCCTCTCCCTCCGTCCCTCCCCCGCGGCCCTCCGCCTCTCCGGCTTAATCGCTTCCCATTTCCAGGAGCGACGAAACACACACACACACACACACAGACACACACACAGACACACACACACACACAGACACACTGAATCGTCGACTCCCAGGAGGAGATGGGAAAATGCGGGAAGTGCGGGGGGGAAGACAGTTACCCAGAACATATGGGAACAGATGGGGGATCTTGCTATTTGTGTGATTTGTGTGTCCTGGGGCCCCTTCACTTTTGTCTGTCCAGACTGCACTTAGGCCGCGGCGCCCAAGCCGCTGTCCTCTTCTGTGCCATCAGACGCAGCGATCGCTCGATCAGCGCCCGCCCTCTTGCGTGAGGCAGGCCTTGAGCGGGGCCCGCGGCGTCGTACTGGTAGCCCTCCTCCCTCATGCTGGCCCGTCTTCGCCACGGGGGTAAGCGGGTCCTACGGGAAGCTGGTCCTGAAGTTTTTCGCCGTTTGGGGGCTCTCGGGGCCCTCCACGGGCCCCGAGACCGTCAGAAATCGGCTCAGCATGAAAAACTCGTCGGGGGGGAAGGCACCCGGGTGCAGGACCCGTTTCCCTCGGGGGCTGTTCCCCCCATGCTGAGTAGCTTTCCTCCCTTCTGCTCCCCCTCTTCCCTTCTGCTCCCCCTCTTCCCTCGTGTGCTCCTATGGAGTCCGGACCCCACCGTCACCGCGGTTCTGGCCGCCGCTGGTTCGGACCGGTTGTCCGAGGCACTGCGTCCGAGGGGCGGGCGAGGGAGAGCTTGTGAGTCATGACGGGCCGAGCCCCCCTTTGGGCAAGAGGAGGACCGCCCCGGAGCCCGCAGCTTGCCAGGCGCATCGGCCAGAGTCGCAGGTTGAGGCATGCTTTCCGTGCCGAGCTCCTCCTCCGCCTCCTCCTCCTCCTCCGCTTCCCTCCTCCTCCTCCGCCTCCTCCGCCTCCTCCGCCTCCTCCTCTGCCTCCTCCGCCTTCTCCTCCTCCTCCTCCCCCTCCTGCCCCTCCTCCTCCTCCTCCTCCTCCTCCTCCTCCTCCTCCTCATCCTCCTCCGCCTCCCTCCGCCATCCGCCTCCCCGCCTACTCCTCCTCTCCTCCTCCTCGCATCCCTCCGCCTCCTCCGCCTCATCCTCCCCTCCTCCTCCCCTCCTCCTCCTGCCCTCCCCCTCCTCCTCCTCCCCCTCCCCCCTCCTCCTCCTCCCCTCCTCCTCCTCCTTCTCCTCCTCTCTCCTCCTCCCTCCTCCTCCTCCTCCTCCTCCTCCTCCTCTTCTCCTTGTGCCGGGCGTCGGTCCGAGCGGCGCCCGGCAGGCACTGCACGCGGGCGCTGAGTACGGGGTGGGGCGCCCGCGCGCCGCCGGGACGAAGCGACAGGCAGGGCGCGGCACCGCGAGTCGATCCACGCTCCGCTTCCTCCTCGATCCTCCTCGATCCTCCTCGATCCTCCTCTTCCTCCTCGATCCTCCACGCTCCGCTTCCTCCTCGACCCTCCGCTTCCTCCATCCTCCTCCAGCCTGGGTCATCCTCGATCCGCCTCCTGCCCCTCCCCGTCCAGGAAAGTCAAAGCGAGGAGGGCCGAGCGGTCATACTCCGTCCCTGCGCATTCCTCCGTCCGCTCTTCTGCTCCATCTTCGTCGGCATAGCCTGGTTCTGCTCTGCTGCCTCCTGCGACCCGAGGAGGAGTGCAAGAAACACGGGGACCAGCGCAGCCAGCTGGAGGCAGAGGCATATGTCTCGTTCCTGGAGGGCACCCTGTTCCACGAGAGGGAGACCAGCCTTTCTCTTAGTATCCCTCTCCCTCTCTCTCTCTCTATCCCTATCTCTCTCTCTCTCTCTTTATGTCTGTCTCTCTCTCTCTCTCTCTCTCTATATATATATATTCATATATATATATATGTGTGTGTGTGTGTCGTTATTTATTCATGTGTTTCTTGATCGATGTCTTGATGATTTGCTGTATGTTCTCTCTCTCGCGCTCTCTCTCCCTCTCTCTATTCAGATGTATGTGTATGTATCACAAACATGCATATGTGTATATACACATATATAGATATATGCTCACGTGGTTTATGTATCTATGTATACAAATAAAAGTTCTAAATACACATGCATACATATCATGCGCGTACCCACTACCTATACGTATCTACATCTATAGCCAGGGACGGGCCACGGCCACCCCCTGGGCCACTACCACGACCACACTATGGGGGACTTGGGGCCGCCAGACCAGGACCCCGACCACCACAAGACCACCCCCCTTGGCAGCGCCAGGCCATCCCCAGACGGCCCAGGCTGCTCCGAAGGCTGCCCGCGTGGACCGGAGCACGCACCAGCGAGGCTCGAGGAATGCCCCCGGGGGCTCCCCAGGGCTCTCCAAGAGCGGCACAGGAGAGCTCCCGCGAGGCCCCAGAGAGGCCCTGATCTGTGTTTTCTGGACGCGCACCGATGGTTTTAGCAGTACCGCTGGTAACCACGCGCAGAAGGGGGGCAGGGGGAGGGGGGAAGGCTTCTTAGAGGCACCCCTGCCTCGTAGAAGGCGCGGCCTTGTCTGTAGATGTGAGGCCCGCGCATTCCAGGAAGCAGCCTCCCTCTGAGAAGCCCTCCCCCCCTCCCCCCCATACGCCCCTTGCGCGCGCCGCCGATGGCGTTTCAATCGTCCGAGCCCACGAGGCCCCTGCAGCGGCCCTGCACGGCTGCGACGGGCCCTGCGGAGGGTCACCAGCCGGCGGCCAGCGGGGCCCCGAGCTGGCCCCGTGCAAGAGGGGGCCCGAAGCGGCCCAAGAGGCCCTCGGGCGGCCCCAAAGGGCTCCGAGCAGGTGGCTCCGGAAGGAGACCCAGGCATGATCGCGCCGTCAAAACATCAGGACGGCAAGTGTTTCGCTGTTTTCGGCCCCTGGGGCCCTCGCCGGTCCCTGGGAGCGTCAAACAACGACTCAGGATGAAAAACCGGCCCCGGGGAAAAGGTCGGGACTTCCGGGGACGCCTATGGACAAACATCAGGACGACGCACGTCGGGGGAACTAGCGGGCCCCTTCAGGGCCCCCTCATTCACCTCCACTTTGGGTCAACACCTCCTTGTAAACCCACCCGATCGGGGCCTCGGAGACACCATGAGGCCAAAGAACTCTCAAGCTGTGAACGCGCAATTTTGTTCCTCTGTCTGGCTCTAGAACATGTCGGATGACTTCTATATTCGAGCCCCGGCGGCTGCGGATGGCGCAACAAACGTACGTGCATGCACGCCTGCAGCAAATCATGCGGCAATGTGTTCGCAATCATGCGCTGCATGGCGTGGCAACGAGGCTCCGGGCAAGTGTGCAAACGAGGGCACGGGGAACGCCGATTTCCACGTTTGGCTATGGCCCTGTTTAGGGGGCCCTGGGC